TCCCGGCGCCCACCGCAGGAGCTCCCCCGCCGTGGCCGGGGCGACCCCTTGTTCTTTAGTGGTGCCGATGAGGGAGGCCCCCGCAGGACCCTGGCCGCAGCGTGCCCTTCTCTGCGGGAGAGGTAGGGCCTGGAAGGCTGGTCGGGGGGCGAGGCTGGGGACGCGCGGATGGCGCGGGGCAGGGAGTCGCCCGGGGGCCCGCTGGCGGGGCTCAGGCCACGTTCTCCCGAATATCTTATCTTGGGGGTGTGGGCGCTCATCTCCAGCTCACCTGGGTGAAGCTCAGCCTTGGAACCAGGTGACTGCGAGTGGGGATGGGTTTGGCCTTGGCTGAAGTTGCGGGATTGGAGAGGGAGTCGCTTTTGCCGTAAGTCCCCAGGTTTGGGGGCGTTGAGTAAGCTGGTCCTTGGAAGACTGGTGTTGCCCAGTTGGTGGGTTGGAGACCGTCCTTGGGACCATGTGCCCTGGGGCTTGGGTCGGTTTGGGGGGCTGGTGGTCACCGGACCCAACTGTCTCTCAGCTGTGCTAGGGCGGGACGAGGGGTGGACTGCCTTGACCACACAAGCCTGGGTTGGGCAGGATGTGGCCTGACTATTTTAGAGCAGTCTTGGGGGTCTCAGTTTGGCGGGGCCTACTGGGCAAGTTTTTCAGAGGCTGGTGGGACCATGTTGACCACAAGAATCACGGGTCCCTAGGTCTCTGGTGTGGCCAGGCTTTGGGTCTCAAGTTCCGTTTAAATGTTTTATTATGAAAAAATGTAAAACAGCCACAAGTAAGTGGGACTCCATCAACTCGTATCTGGATTTCATCTCCTGGATTAAATGCTTACCAACCTTGATTCATCTCAAAGTGGACACAGAATTCTTATTAGCTACAGCGCTTTGCTGTCACTGCCATTTCTGTTTAAGAGCAGTCTTCCCAGCCAGATTTTCTTCAGGCTTTGCCACTTCATAGTTGTGTCAAGAGCTGGGGCAAGAAACCTCGCTGTGCCTCAGTTTTCTCATCAAAATAATGAGAATAACACTTCTTTGGGTTGTTGTAAAGGTAGAATGAAGTAAAAGTGCCTGAAACAGTCTCTGGTATATACTAAGTAAATGCCAAGTGCTCTGAATCCTCTTTCATTATTCATGACAGAGGCACCGAGAGGGTTCTCTCTCCAGTGTTGACAGCATGTCAGGGAAGCCTCTGTTCTCAGCCCACATCTCAGCTCTGTTCTTAGAGAGCTGCCCACAATTCTTTGTGATTTTTCTTATGTCACAGGTCCATTCCTGATGCCTTTCAGGAAGAGTTATCCTGCTGGACCTTAAGGATTTCCAGTGACTTTTTCTGAATATTTTTGTTCTTATTCTGCCTCCTGTGGCCTCCGCCTGTTCAGAGAGGACTCTGGGGAAATAGAGGACACCAGGGCCCTTGACAGCCCAGTTTCAGGTAAGTGCCACTTTCTTTTTGTATTCTGAACCATGAATGAGGTTCCTTTACTCAGCTTTGACATGTGTGTCCCACAGTGTGTCATTCAGGAATCAGAGCCCCAGGAAGATAGGCTTGTTCTAAGAGTGACAGTTCTCACAGGGAATAGTCTTAGACCTGTTTATTTCATTCATTGGAGGGGGGGTGGTGTAATGAATGAAGTAACACCCCCATCCTTACCATTGGACACCTTCTCTCATCTTTTTTTGAAATTGACCTTTCCCAGGACTTGCCAGGTGCTGTGAAGCTGTTAGTCTTCTGTGCCTGTTTCTTCGAAGGCCCTCACTTACTCTTTTCCCTGCCAGAGTAGTTTCTAGTGAATCCTGTGGGGTCTTTCAGAAAGCTCATGCTAAATGCATGTTATATATATATATGTGTGTGTGTGTGTGTGTGTGTGTATGTGTATATAATATATATATATATGAAAGAAAGAAAAAGAAAACCTGTGCATAGGCTTAAACATTTTTTGCACCAAAATAAACTTGTACTTTCATTCCATTTTTCCGTGAACTTTTTGAAGTTCCCACATACCATTTCACCTGCAGATAACTTTAGTAGGCATCTCCAATACATGGTCCTTGTTTTTTTCTGTTTGTTTGTTTTGTTTTGTTTTGTTTTTAATTTGCTATAGAACATGTATGTATGCTTGCCTGGAGAGAAAGGCACAGAGAGATAAAATGAGAAAGCCTCCCCAGAGAGGATGGCCACACTGCAGTTCCTTCTGCATTCTCCTTTAGGATTTTGGGCATGCACATACACATGATTGGTGTGACTTTCAGGTCACTGGGTCCAGGACTTGAACTGCATAGCCAGCCATTTAGGATCTAGCACCTTAACTACCATGCTACTGGCTGACCCTCAGACTTCTTTTAATGTAACTACAGTTGTTACATCCAACAAAATTAATAACTTGTAAATATCATTCAGTACACAGTCCATACTCAGTTTCCCCCAATTGTATAAAAATATCCTTGTTTTTCCCTTATCAGAACAGCCCTGGTCAGATTTAGGAGAGGGGGCAGTACCTAGAATGCAGCATGATGATTTTTCCTGTCTCTGTCCCTGTCTTCTCCCATTTCTTCCATCCTTATTAGTCTGTGTTAACAGCTGTAACTTACACCTTGTGAGACAAGTGGGGCCTTTGAATTTTATTGCCTCTTCATTCTTTCCAGACTCACCTCCCATTTTATTGACTGTTACATCCTCTCAATTCCACCTGTGTGTACACCTTGATTCCTGTTCCTTCCTTTTGTTCCTATTCCATCATTATCCCAGCTTCCTATTTTTCTTATTTCTTTTTTGTCTTCCCTCCCACTTAAATTCCTTGAAATGGGACCAGCAGATTGCATAATGGTTATGTCACTGGACTCCCATGTAGTCAAACACAGTTTGAGTCCCAGACCCCACAGACTTAAAACTCACTCCAGGCACATGTGCATGTATGCCTAAAATCTCAAGAGGAGGATGGAGAGGGGATTGCAGCATGACCATACCTCCGGGGGGTGATTTCTCATTTTCTGTCTCTGTGGTGAATGCATGTGACCTATAGCAAAAATTCTCTCTCTTAAAAAAAAAAAAAAAAAAAAAACCACACCAAAAAAACCCCTAGAAATTATTGTATCCATTTTCTATTCTTTTATTGTCTTTTAAACATCCTAGTAAGGCTTTTTCAGTTCTAGCCACCAAAATATATTCTTGTCGAGGTCACCAATTTATCCCTGAGGCTGAATGCCACAGATAGTAACATTTTATGTAGTACATCCTTGCTCCTTTTCAGAATATTCCTTCACATGGGGCCAGAACATGGGGCAGCAGTGAAATGCAGTGTTTACAAGGCAGTCTTGCTTGGGAAGGTTCCTGGTTTGTATCGAGAGAACTTCCTGAGTAAGCTGTGCCCCTTATCTGGGACTGGCTGAGACTGAGGGTGAACTGAGGCATCAGGGCCTTATTGAGGGCTGTTCTAATGCTCTGTCTCTCTCACTCATGGATGAAATAAATAAAAAAGAAAATAATATCTTTTCACTTTGTTGCTTTTGGTGTCTAGGTTTTCCTTCTACCTCATAGACTGTCCCTTTTTTTCTCCTTGAATGACTCCTCCTCTTTTCCTAAATCTCATTGTGGATCACCCTGGTTCAGTTCTCAGACCACTTGTCTTCTCCAGCTGCTGCTCTTCTCTCAGTCTCTTCACTTTCAAAGATTTTAAATGCTATTTCTCTGAGACAACTGAGATCTCTGCCTTCAGTTTTTCGTTCCGTTCTCTTACTATTAGGGCTTGGGGTAAGACTCAGGAGGTGCCATCTTAAGAGAAAAGGGAAAGTTTATTGAGAGAAAGAGCACTGGGGGTCTGAAGCTGGAAGTGCTTCAGCCCACCCCACTGAGGGGACATGGTGTATTTATATGAGAGGAGAGGAGGGAGAGGGTCAGAAGAATGGTGGGTACATTGATTAGCTTACTTGCAACTGTGACTTACCAGCAACTGTGACTTACCAGTCCATCTGTGGGTGTCAACTGCCAGAAAGGGAGGGCTCGGGTCAGAGGATTCTGACACAGGTCCTGCAATCATTTCTTTATTTTCTGAAATTTAGGGAATTACCGAAAGGTCATTCAGGGGCTGATCCAACACTTACTGTCTTCTTCACATTTCCACCTGGGTATCTCATGGGCTTCCCAAATCATTGTGTTCAACAACAAATTCTGACACTTCCTCTAAATATACTCTACCTTCTACATACATTCCTCTTCTTCCTGTAGATTTAGTGGAGTATAAATAATTCTTTGAAGGAGTTTAATTTGAAAAGGGAGCAGAAAACGTGGCACTCCTTTCTTAGATTTCTGAGGCTCAAAACTTTGGAGTCATCCTCAATTCTTTTTTATTTTTTGTCCTTTCATTTATTTTTTCCATGAGAGAAAGAAGTACCCAACAGGGTCAATGCCATATTCCTGTCCCAGTCAGCCTAGACCACCAGCACACACAGTAGTACCAAATGTGTCCCAAGAGGCCCTGAGATGGGGGTCTGGGACCTGTTATATGACTGCAAAGCCCCTTGATTCCCTTCTCACTCTTACACTTCATCCACAATAGATAAATCTGGATTTAAAAATCTTCAAAAATCACCCCCTCCCCACTATGATCCAGGACAACGTAGCATCTAGATTAATCATTGCCTTTGAGTGGTCTCTGCTGCTTCCTTTGTTTCCCTGAGATAATCAGTTCGGCACCCTGGGGGATCTTTAATTGTAAATCAGATCAGATCTTGTCATGCAGTTTGCTCAGGGCTCTTCAGTGGCGCTTAAGTATAATCTCCCCGTGTCTCCTCATGGCCCTCTTCTCCACCACTCCCTCTCAGTCATGCTATGCCAACCACAACATGCTGTCTGTTCCTTGATTGTGCCAGCCTGACTCTTGCATCAGGGCCTTTGTTCTGGCTCTTCTCTTGTCTGAGATGTTCTTTTCAAAGTCATGCACTTGGCTCATTCCCTCACATCCCAGATTTTTATTCAGAAGGGCCTGCCTTGATCACCCTGTTTAAAATCCCAAAACCTCACCCCACATCCTTTACTGCTTTTTCTCTTCCCTGTTGTATTTCTCTTCATTTCTTTCTTCATTTTTTGGGATACTTTATGTTTTCATTTAATATGTTCCTCTTCTTCCTGTAGATTTTGATGTCAGTGGGGTCAAGTGTTTTTTTTCTTTGTTCATTTCTGTATCCCAATGTTTAAAATAGCACCTATCACACATTTACTGGATGAAGGAGTGAGCCAGTCATGTGTACAGAGCTAATTCTGGGAGCAGTTGATGAGGCAGATTGGGATGTGGGGAGAGAGTCTGCAGAGATTCTTCCAGGAGCCCTTTGCCATTGTCCTAACACCCCAGCTGGTTTAAGGGTGGAGACAAATTGCAAGTTTGCAGAGATGGAATCAGTCAGCCTTGGTAATTGGATTGATATGACAGTTAGTAAAGTCATGGTGGCTGAGTAAGCCCGTGGCTGATCAGGAAAGTGCTTCTGTCTCTAAGAAGGCTGAAGAGAGAGAGACAAGGCACAGCATGTCCTGTGGATTCTGTTGCACGTCAAACCACCTTAAAACGCAAAGGCTCAGAAGAGCAACCATCTCATAATCCCTTGTGGTTTACCCGCATCACTGGGCAGTTGTGCTCTGTGTGAGTTATAGATATCACTGTGGCTGCAGTCACATGAGAACTTCTATGGGTTGGAACATGCACGAAGTTCCCTCACATATTTGGTGCATTAGTGAGTAAAGGTTAGTGGGTTGTTTAGCATGCTAGGATCAACTAGGGCAGCCAGGCCTCACTCTCTTTGTAGTATCAAGGCCTCTGGCTCTTTGCGTCTCTCTAGTAGTGTAATTAATTATGTACCTTAGGGCTTCCAAGGGTAAAAGCTGTCTGGCCTTATTAAGAGTTAAGCCTGTAACTGGCATAGTATCACTTGTGTCACATTTATTGGTTAAAGCAGCAGCAAAGACAACTTGAAGGAGCTCCTGATGTTTAAAACTGGAATAATCTGAACAGCAAAGTAAGGTGATAATATTGTGTTATAACCCGTAGGATGAGAGATAAATCTGTGCTGATTTACGTGAATAATTGAATGCAAATAAATGGAGAGATGGCATAGCTCTTGCTTAGGGGAGAATTATAATGAAAGATTTTAGAATGAAAGTAGGAAATAGAACGTCATTATTTGGTAAACACCATGATAATGACTGTTGCAGACATGTTCCACAGATGTATGCTAAAATTAGTGGGTAGAAGTATGAAGACAAACAGGATATTTGTGTAATCTCAAAGTATCTCTCCCAGGGTAATTACTATTTATAAAGAAAAATTCAGTGACTTACAATGGAAAAACACAACTGACTTCACCTTAACCAAGGAATCAAGATCCAGGTTAACATCACTGGTAATGAGACATGTCAGTATCATGAATTTGTTGATATGGTGCACT